AATCACTACATAAATGTTGTTTAGATAGTGAGACAGGGCAGGGAAAGTCTCTATCATTGTCTCTGATTCTTAATCTGTGTTGGGTTCCTGCAGTGATGGGTCTCAAAACTCACCACGGTGACCTGCTCTTGATGACTATCTTGGCTAACTTCCAGTCACCTGAGCTCACACAGCTCCTGGGACGTCTTCCTGGAGCTCACTTTGCAAACATGAGTTACTTAAAGGGAAGCACTGCTCTTGCTGAAGAATAAACTTATTTAGGCACTGCAACATTAATACAAGTTAGCAAACACAGAATGGAAAGAATGCAGAATTTTTGAGAACACTGCTTGGACCATGAGGTTTGCCCAGACCCTCACAAGCCTTTGACTTTATGAATCTCTTGGTATATCCACATTTGAAAGTTTTCCATAACACACAAAGGTTTGCGTTTAGTGGTGCATAGATAGATAGGGGTGTGTTGCTAATTCTTTCAAGCATTTTTATTTCAATGCACGGTTACTGAGCTGGCAGGAACCGCTTGCACATAGCTTTGGAGGGTGAGTGGGTAAATGCACGCTTTGTATGCACATGTGATCCAACTGGGATGGCAGGTAGAGGAGCCAAGCTACCCCACCCAGTTAATGTCATCTCCATGTCTGCTTCCAACATTACAACCAATGATTACCTGTTCTGAAGATTCTTCTTTGTCAGTTAACCTATTTTCTCTAATCAACCCGTTCAGAGATGTTATTACACAGCTCTGGAGCAGATAGGATTTGAACCAGGTCTCTTGGTCCAGGGGTAGGAACACTACCACTGCACTACAAGAGAGCCCCTGTTCTGAGGATACTAACCACCTAAGTAAATAAGCAGCAGGTGCTCTGAACAAAGAACATAAGACCTAATGAAACTGACTCATTAATTCCCACATCAGAAAAGTAGAGAATGAAATTATTTTACTTGGTACAGCATCCTTGCTTTTGTCTCATCCATTGTCAAGAAAAATAGAAGGACATGTACTTCATTCGTGTCCATCACAACCTTGCGGTGCACCAACGCGTTTCACGGCTAGTGAAGTGTTTCTGAAGTGCTGCAATTGTAATGTAGGAAATGCAGCAGTCAAATTTGCCACAGCAAACCCGCAAAAACAGCATTACGATAATAACTGTTACTTGTCATCTGTTTTTATCGTGTGATAGAAGGATAAACATTGACCAGGACATTGGGGAGAACTCCTGTCTGCGTGGGTTTCCTCTGGGTGTTCCGGTTTCGCCCCATAGTCCAAAGATGTGCAGGTTAGGTGGATTATAGGGGGATGGGTCTGGGTGGGATGCTCCAAGTGTCGGTGTGGACTTGTTGGGCCGAAGGGCCTGTTTCCACACTGTAGGGATTCTATGATATTCTCTTAGACATAGTGCAAAGGGTTCTTCTACATCCACTTAGAGCACATGGGGCCTTGCTTTAACATCTCATCTGAAAAGTGGCTACTCCAACAGTGCGGTACATCCTTCGAACTGCATTGAAGTGTTAGCCTTGAATTTTATGCTCAATCCACTGGGAAGAAAGATGCCCCAACACCAGCATCCTTGACCAGGCCAATGTCCGCAGCATCGAGGCACCAACCACTCTTGATTGGCTACGATGGGCTGGGTACGTCATCTGCATGACTAACACAAGACTCCCCAAGCAGGTGCTCTACTCCCAGTTTTGAAACAGCAAGCCCCAGGTGGATAGGGGAAGCTCCTCAGTGATACCCTCAAGGCCTCACTGGTGAAGTTTGGCATTCCCACAGACACCTGGGAATCACTGGCCCAAGACAGTCCAAAGTGGAGGAGGAGCATCCAGAATGGCATCAAGCACTTTGGAAAAAGTGGAAGCCAAATGAAAACATCGAAAGGAGCGCGCTGCCACACCAACGCCCCACCCACCCCTTCCCATGACCACCTTCTGCCCCAAGTGTAACGGAGCCTGCGGAAGCTGCATTGGTCCACCTACGGACTCACCCTGAGTATGGAAGAGAGTCATCCTCATCTGCAGGGGACCACCAATAAATGAACAAGCTCAAGTCTTAAGTTTTGAAGGTAAGTATACAGTTAGAGACCACTTAACTTAATCTTCCGCAGAAACCTCTGATGGCTTTCCTCTTCACTGTCCGATCACCGGAGCTTTTGCCTCCATTCCCCATGCTTGCCCTTGTGTTTGCTATTGTGGGTAGGTCAAGAACTAAGACCACTGTTTTCAAATTAGGGCTAAGAAGAAGGCAGAGTTTTTTTAAGGCAGTGGATAGATTTGTGTTAGGCTGGAGGATCAAGGATTTTTGGGGCTAAATGGGAATGTGGAATTCAAAACAAATAGCTCAGCCATGATCCTATTGAGTAGTGAAGCAGGCTCAAGGAGCTAAATAATCTGCTTCTCCTCTTTCATGTGTTCTTATGTCTGACAGCCATTCTCAATAGTTATTGCTTTGATAGCAGGTCTAAATGTTCCTCCTTGCTCTGTATTCATGGTTTGACTTCCATTAACCTCAGTATGAAGGTCCCCCCTCTTTTTTATCCTAAAATGATCAAATGCTTCAGGTCTTGCTTTATAGTTCAGCACAAGGGGTCTCAATGCAGTTTCTCAGCCACCCTGAACGTCTGTTGGCATACAATATTTTCTTTCCTGTTTTCACAATCGTGGTTCCATATTTCATCTAGCTGACTTCCACACTACAAGGTGTGATGAATTGGGAGGGAAGCACTATTTCGGCTGCAGCATTGGTAGACACAATTTTACAGGGAGCAGCGCTGGCATGTCTGGTCAGTGGCCGGAACTCTGAATTGGTTTGGGAGACTGACCAAGGTTAGGGATGTTTCTTGGTCCATTCACAGTTCTGGTATTTGCAAAAATTTGCCTTCCATATGGGCACCAGCCTGCAGTAGAATCAGTGCATGAAGTTGTTGTCTATTTGGATCAGTACACCAGGCATGAATGTGTTCATTCATCAACCTGGCACTTTGTTGCCAAAATCCAAGGTCTAAACAAGTGGTTCCATTTACAGGGGAAAAAAAAGAAAGAGGATACTTTGTGAATCCCAGTTCTTCACAGAGGCTTTAATTTAAAAAAAACTTCCAGTCGTTCAGGCGAACCTTAAAAATTCCGTGTGCTATTGAAAGAAGTATGGAGAGTTCTCTTACATCTCTGGCCAGAATTCTGTCTTCAAGGGACACTAAAAAAGTAGATTGCCTACAAGATGTTTACAGGATCTTGTGATGCATAAAATGTCTTATGGTCCCGTCCTAGCGCTTAAAGCTCTCTCTTTGACCAAACTCTCAATCACCTGTCTTAATATCACCTTATCTGGCTGGATGTCAAATCTTTGTTAACCGTTTCTTGATGTGCTTTGGAACAGTTTACTACAAGAGTGGTGGTATCTAACAAAGTTTTTTTCATTCAGTCACGGGATGTGGACATTACCGGCTGGATCAGCATTTATTACACATTCTTAGTTGCCCTTGAGAAGGTGATGGCAAGCTGCCTTCTTGAGCGATTCAGTCCATTTGTTGTTGTATGTTGCTCAATGCAAAAGTCAATGCACTTTAAGGTAATTCCTTTGCGTGCAGAGTACTTTGAGAGATCTCCCTGAGAGTGGAATAGCGATAAGCATCTGTATAAATTCAATTTGTTTCCCAAGCTACGACTTGGATTTTGTTTTGAAGTGGTGGAACTATCCCTGAATGTCTTGCACATAATGCTTTTTATCCATTTTGGGGAAAGCTTAAAACTCCCAGAGCTTCATTTGGATTTGAGGTCTGAGAAAATGATGGTTTGAGTGCATTGACTGAATTTGAGAGTGGAGATGAAGATCCCGGGGGCTTGAATTCACAAACTTCTCAAAGATGAGTGGAGGGACATTGAAATTGGAAGAAGTTTGACACCATTATAGCCAGCTGAAAGTTTTTAAGTTTGGGATTCACTTGAGAGGATTCTACTGTCATAAAAGCCTCTACTGCCAGGGAACCAACTTATGATATCAGCTGTTTCTTTCTAAATAATATTTCTGTCACATTACTTTGAGGGAGGGCTATTTGTGACATAGAAGAAATTAATGTCACTGCATAATTCCAGTAGAGTATTTAAGATAAGCTTCATATTATCTTGACTGATGAGAAGTTGGAACTTGCTATCATAGTGAGTGAGCTAACTATCATAGATCAGTGGAGGGGAAGCTGGATAAACCCTTGCAGGAGATAAAGAATAGAGGGTAATATTGAAGTGGTTATATGAAGAATGGTAAGAGGAAGTGGGAGTGGAACATAAATACTGATACAGTGCAGCTGAAACTGATGTGTCATAAAAGTGTAATAGGAGTAACATTATGTATTTGAAGAGCTTCTCTTTTCTAATTCCCTGTATTTATGTAAAACCCAGCTCACTGACCAGGCTTTTGGCCTAATACCTCCTGTGTGGCTTAATGACAAATACACTCTTGTAAGACACTTTGGAACTTTTCAGTGTATGTGAAGGCACTATATAAATGCAAGATTTTGACTCCCTGCTGTCTACTTCAATTAGCATCTATGGAGTGATGTTGTGCAATCCATTGGATGGCGAGCAGTTTCAAAGACCAAGATCAAATGTTTATTTTCTCTCTTGCTGGGATAATTCAAGAAGAAATTGGGAGAAAGAAAATGAGAGGGACTTGGAACTCCGAGATAAAAGGAAGATTAGGTTCTCTTAAGCTGATTTCTGCTTTCTCAGGAGTTGGGTTGCCATGAAAGCAGCAGTCATCATTGTTTCCTTTTATCCTCCTTCCCCCCCCACCCCACCCCAAAACAATCAATGAACAAACAAAAAGCAAAACCTCTGTGGTTTTACAGACGTTACTGCAGGTTCCACCCCAGGGTAAAATTCACAGTGAATAAAGCAGTGATGGTCTGTGCCAGAACGGGTTAGAGTAATGACAAACACATGGGCTGTTCCACTTTGAACGAGACGTTTGTAGCTGAACTGATGTGGGTTGCTTTCTTTCCTTCCAGATGACTTGGTATGACTGCACTGCACAAGTCTGTAGAGTGTTAGGACTGCGCTCACTAACACAGACTTAAAGCATGCGGGCAGACGTAGCTGTTTGGGTAAGCTTCTTGCTTAAAGTGTTTTTTGAAGAAACAAAGTAACATCTGTGTTGTTCATTTCAGCCAAAATGAGGAGAGTGCCTTTGTTACGATAAATTTTTCTTGTTAACCCTAGTTTTGATATTTCTTTTAGGATTAGTTATGACCTCGAGGCAAGGCTGTGGAAAAGGTGGAAGCCAGATGTAATGATTAAAGGAATGAGACAAATAAAAGGATATGTGGGCTCAAATAATTAAATTATCTAGGGAGAGTCACACATGCTCTGCATACCATATCCCAATTGTTTACTACTACTGAGTCGTTCAGTATTAAGAAATCTTTGTTGTCAAATTTAACTTTTTAGATATATCAATAATTGTTATCTTTCTGCCAGAATAGAGTTACCGTCCATCATGACCCATGGTACATTGTTTGAAAAGCTATGAGTGCGTGAGATCCTGTGCACATATGGGACAAGAGCCAACTTTCTCCTTCTTGAATATTCTGCTCTTGTGACATTGACAAGCTACGCTCAGTAACTTGTGTCTTAGAACTGTGCTGCTCATAAGGGAAACACGTTCAAGTTAGTCACTTGCATAATGCTTTATTAATAGAGGTGCTCAGAGGGTGCTCATGGGATGATGAAGTCCACAATTCCAGTTTCCTCAATGTTTGTCTGGAACCCCCTCCCACTCGTCTTCACATGTAATAAACTCCGTGACTATGACAGTAAAAAAATTGCACACAGTGCGTTGAAAGGGGTGGACTCATTTATACAAGGCAGCAAGTGAAAGAAATGCTGCATGAGTATAAAGGGTAGACTTGAGCATTGATTGTTCTTTCAGGAATTAAGTTTCATATTCTAATAAGTGACTTCTGCCCCAAGTCTGCCAAAACTCCAACATTATTCATCTTTTAAATTCATTTATTATCTGAGGTAAGAGGCTCAGTTTGATAGCTCCTGCCTGTTAATGAGAGTAAGCGGGATTGTGATTGCTGGCAGGTTAGATTGTGCTATTCGATACCGTGTGGAGCTGGAGGATCATAGCAGGTCAGGCCGCATGAGAGGAGCAGGAGAGTCGATGTTTTGGGCCCAAAACTTCGACTGTCCTGCTCCTCTGATGCTGCCTGACCTGCTGTGTTCCTCCAGCTCCACACTGTATCAACTCTGACTCCAGCATCTACAGTTCTTGCTATCTCTTAGGTTGTACCAGTGTTGAATTTGATTTCAGACCATTTCCATCACTACTGTTTCATTACATTCATAGTCCTGATGAAGGGTCCCAACCTGAAATGTCAACTTTCCTACTCCTCTGATGCTGCCTGACCTGCTGTGTTCCTCGAGCTCCACGCTGTGTTGACTCTGACTGCAGCATCTGCAGTTCTTGCTATCTCCATAGCTCCTTTCCTTTTGCTTATGTGTTTTTTAATGAGTTGATGCCAATTTGATCTTTTGATTGGTGACTGTATGTTGTAACTTGCATCTCACAACCCTCTGATGTAGCTGCATTCTTCCAAATCTGGTTATAATTTGATTTGCTCCATCATGGTGGTCACACCTACAGTTGCAGAATATTCAAGAAGGAGAAAGTTGGCTCTTGTCCCATATGTGCACAGGATCTCACGTACTCACAACTTTTCAAACAATGTACCTTGGGTCGTGATGGACAGGAACTCTGTCTATTCCGGCAGAAAATAACAATTATTGATATATCTAAAAAGTTAAATTTGACAACAAAGATTTATTAATACTGAACGAACCAGTAGTAGTAAACAATTGGGATATGGTATGCAGAACATGTGTGACTCTCCCAAATTAATTTTTTTAATTATTTGAGCCCACACGACCTTTTATTCTCTCCCTACCTCTCTACCTTTATTTAAGACATTACTTTAAACCTTTTTCTTTGCCACCTCGACCACCAGTTCTGTCACATCATTTCTATCAGCTGTGATCATGTTAAATGATGGAGCGGGATCGAAGGGCTGAATAGCCTGTTTCCACTCTTAGTCCTGTGTTCTAATGTTCTTATCCTGATGTGGCTCGATGCCAAACATTGCTTGAAGTACCTTTGGATGTTTTACCATGTTAGAGGTGCTATATGAATGCAAGTTGTTACATTTAATTTGTGGTTTCTGGTGGTTAACTATTGGTCCCAGTTTAATGGAGCACGGCAACCCCCTGATTCCAATTCAGTTAACGTTGTTATTACTGTATCCAAAGCAAATGTCTGTTGGCCATGAAATAATTTGCTTCCTATTTTAAAATTTAAATAATTGTTTCACTACATTTTGCCAGGCTTATTGAAGTTGCCCATCTCTCTTATATGGTCAGTTGTTGAATTCCGCAATGTAGTTATATATTGATGGCTTTGTTATTTAAAAAATGTAGTGTGGACTTCTTTCTGCTGAACCTATGAATTCTCACATAAGACCACAGAAGTTTAAGCACAGGAAGTTGCCATTCAATCATTAGAGCAAAGAAGACTAATCCCATTGCCCTGGTTTTCCTCGAGTATTGTCTTCTTCTAAATATCCATCTATCCTCTTCATAAAGGGTGTTTGTACTGGTGAATTGATGAATTATTACAAATTGAAGATTTATTTATCTAAAATGCCTCATCTTTTTAAACACACTAAGTCCTCATTAAGGGAAGGAAGCTGTTCTCAAGTCTTGTCCATGTTTAAAATACTTGAAGGGAATAATTTGCAGGACTATAGGGAGAGAGATGAAAGATGTATACAACTAATTGTCTAATATTTGTCAGGGACCTAACATAGGCATGTAAGTTCGCATGGCTTCCTGTGCCGTGTCACAGGTCACTGCGTAGTACACTGGAAATGAAGCCCAGTATTCCTGAAGTCATCACAAAAGTTAAAGGTTTTATAAAAGAATGCAAAATTCCCCCACTTTACCTGGCTTTTCAGATCCAGGTTGACAGAAAACATGGATCAGGTTTCTATACTTATCAAGAATTTATATTTATTACAAATAAGTAAAATATAGCTACAGATAAATAGTTATGAACTGTTGACATGTAACTCCTCTGATTAAAACTCTACACTTACATATGGAATGACCCAGACAGACATATAAATAATTGCTGTTTTCAGAGAAGGGAAGAACTGGGAAGACAGTTCATTGGTCCCTGTCCATAGGGTTCAAAGAAATGCTTCTTTTGGCTTGCCAAGACATATCACTCTTCAGTATCTCTTCTCTAGGCACTTTCATTTGCTTGCAGGAGGCACAAGGCGACCAGTTCACAACTTATAAAGTCTCTGACTTATTGCTTAGAAGTCACAGTTTACAGCAACTTGGGAAGGAAAATAACCTGCCATTCTTCAGGCTTTAGGTGGATTTTACTTGAGATAAAATGCAGCACCTACCCTTCTGGTGATCTGAAGGTTTTGCTTTTATTGTTCGTATCCACAAGCTGCTTGTCCAACAGAGTCAATCATATAGTTGTTGACAGGCAGAAGACCTTTGTCATTGACAACTGGTCACTATTCCACACACCAATCAGCTACTTGTTGCCAGTCAAATCTCCCTCTGAACCCACCTCCTTGCTCCAACTCGTCTGCAGTAACCTTCCCCAAATGCTTGAGCAAACAGCTACATAAACAGCATTCACAATGAGTGGGAACCTGCTTCTAAAATATGTAGTGATCCCATCCACAGTCCCTTAAAACAGTCCTTTTCTCATTTCAGTGCATAATCCAAAATACAGAAGAATAAAAAAAAATGATCTTTGCAGCTGTATCATATGTCATTCAAATTGGTTGCACTGCTCTTGCTGTTAACATTGCCTTCAGAAAAATAGTTGACATGTAGATGTAAAAGAATTGCTGAGGAGTGGATGGGCTAGGCGGGGGTATACAGAAACATATTCAGGATCTACTCATAGCATTTTTATATTGTTTAACTAGGAGTTGCTTCTTTTGCATATATTTACTCCCAGACATGTGTTTTATTGTTGACATTATTTTAGTTCAGATTCAGGAGACAAACTGTCAAGCTAGTGATTCTGCAGCTGGTGAAAGAGAGCCAGGTTTAAGTTATGTAAATTCTGGGAGCTGGCTCCCAAACACTGGTCTACCAAGATTAAAAAGCAATATCAAGTTGGCTATGTTACTTGCAGAAGGCTTATTGTAAATTTCAAATGGCAGCTCGGCAGCTCTGCTGTGAGTAGTCTTTATTTAATGCTGATGGACACAACCCAAAAGCAGACATGCCAGAAGCCTTGGGAAATATCTAATTTTCATTGTTCTTTCAGTGAACTATTAGACACTTGTTGCTTCCCTGCCAAAAACAACTTTCCATAGCCACGTTTTTTTCTGTGCACCAGCATTGGCTCCTTGGACCCACAACCTATCAGAGCCTGAAGGAAGGAATCACTTAAAATAGAAACAAAATACTGTGCATGTTATAAGTCTCAAGTTTAAAACAGAAGTTGCTAGAAAATCCTCAGCTAAGATGAAACAGTTTACGTTTCAAGATATCATTTCCAGCATGGAAGATCTTAGAAATACAACAAAATCAAAAATTGCTGGAAAAATTCAGCACATCTGTGGAGAGAAGGAGAATTAATGTTTTGGGTCCAGTGACCCTTCCTTAGAAATTCACTCCACAGATGAGAGACGTGCTGAGTTTTTCCAGCTATTTGTGATTTTGTTTCTGATTTTCAGCTTCTGCAGTTCTTTGGTGTTTTTGTTTGGAACTGTGGCAGTTTTTTTTGGCAAGTGCAGAGCTTTTCCATTTGTGAGGACGAGCAAAGTCAGCGATATGGCGGAAGGTAGGAGTAATTGGCGAACAGAAGGGATCATGGTGCAAGACAAAATCTGGGTGGTAATGGTACATGAAAAAAAATAAAATATTGACCCAGTTCAGGTTTAAGTGGTTTCTACAGAAAGAGGAAAGAAGCTTGTAAAATCTGGCAAAGCGTTGGGTCCCAGTGGGAGAAGAATGTGGTGGTGAGAGATACTAGGTAGAGGAGCTACTTTCCTCAGTTTCATGCCATTCC